TTTTCATTTTTTAGGTTGAATCATTTCAACCAATGTTTAAAATTGCAATGGGGAACAGGATTGATACCCCTTTTGGTGTTATATGTTTTTCAGTCATTAAAATGAAGTACGTAATAAAAGAACAGTTTGCATTGGCGATATTAAACCCTGGTGAAATCAAACATGGATTTCATTCATTTTCCTTCTAAGCTGTTTTATTTTTTTGTAAATAGAATATTATATATATACCAATTGGTGCAGTCAGTATCAAGAGATTTTTTAAGCTACAGAAAAAAATAGAACAAATTAAAACAGAGAATTTTGATTTATTATAATTTATATCTGTTGTCATGACAAGATATGAAAATTCAGTCCGTTGTCATCGGTTGTTGCTACTGTACTGAATGTACGTAAACATTATGAAGAAGGTCGATTTTATTATTTTTTTATGCTTTGATAAATTTCAAGCATGCCTTCAATAAATGGGTGAACTTATTTGTGATAAGGAACTAAAACGTATGCTATTTTCTTTATTTCATATAATATTCAGCTTTTTTTGGTCATACATAAGGGCTTCAGCATTTTTCCTTAAAAAATATTTTCAAAGTGAAGGAAGAAATATGCATGCTAACTCTCGGTTTCTGCCTACATTTTGCACCCATTCAATAAATCAATATTAATATGGCAATTTGGCCATAAAATCCTTGTTTAATGCCAAGAACAGTTCAATGGTAATTAATGAATGGTTTTAATACCAGCTCTAAATAGTAAATTATCCATATTTCCAGCTCTTGAAAAAGGGGGGTAGACAATATTTTCCATTGAAATTGGGCTTTCAAAGGTCACCATACATGTATTGTGAAATAGTCTTGGATATGATTAAATGTTCATTGTATCTTTTCTTGTGACATGATAGCGGTGTTTTTTTTTAAAAAAAAAATTTACTCTTCTGTATTAGCAATACAGAACGGGACTATGGTGGGCGGAGCTACTTTACGTCCTGTATTAGCACTATATACTGTCTTGTATTAGCCAACTATTCTGTATTTAAAATACAGCACTGTCTAAAAATAAATCTGATTCAAGTTATCAAAAGCATGTACAAATAGTAAATGCTGATGTTTTCCTATTATAATTTTTGGAGAAATGCCCGGTATTTCCCTGGGAATGTAAAATGTTGACATTTGATTATCTCCATCACTTTTTAAAAACTTATTCCACACAGAGTCTACTCATAATTTCGATCTAAACAAAAAGGAAAATTCACAATAACGGAAAGCATCCTCGAGCAAAATCATTCAAGTCCATTTTTTCCCGTTTTAGCTCACCTGAGCCGAAGGCTTTTCTGATCAAAATTTGTCCGTTGTCTGTCGTTGTTGGCGTTGTCATAAACTTTTTACATTTTCATCTTCTTCTCAAGAACCACTAAGCCAATTTCAACCAAACTTACCACAAAGTATCCTAAGGTAAGGGAAATTCAAGTTTGTTCAAATGAAGGGCCACACCCTTTTCCAAGGGGAGATAATTATGAATTAGAGAAAAATTAATGGCGTTTTTAAAAAATGTTCTTCTCAAGAACCACTACTCAGGTAGTGTAGATTAAAATTTGTTCAAATCATGACCCCCAGGGGTAGGTGGGGCCACTATGGCTGATCAAAGTTTTACATAAGAGTATATAGGAAAAATCTTTAAAATCTTGTTCTCAAGAACCACTGGGCCAGGAAAGGTGAAACTCGTGTGGAATCATCCAGGTAGTGTAGGTTCAAGTTTGTTCAAATCATGACCCCTAGGGGTAGGGTGGGTTCAATATGGCTGATATCAAAGTTTTACATAGAAATATATAGGAAAAATCTTTAAAAATCTTCTTCTCAAGAACCATTGAGACAGGAAAAATCCGTGACATCAAAGTCCATTGAAGAGTTTTCTGTAAATCCTTTTTTTGTAAATCTAGTTATAAACCAGAATTTTAAGACCCTTGAAATATATTATGATCAATCTCCATCAACAATAGTCTTAGACCACAACAATAACGGTTAAATCCTCCACTTCATCCATTTAGACTGACCATCACTCGATTACGTCTACCTCATTAAATTGTCAAAACTAATCTGACTGAATCTTACATTTTCCATGGAAATATATATGCTGCGGGTGCGTACTCCCTGTCGGGGCCTCATCTACAGAACTCTGGTGGAAGTTTGGATGCTGCACAGTTATAAAGTGGGCGGAGCGATTGATCGTGTCACAAATCATTTAGAAAACTCGACAGGTTCTGTATCATAGTATTCATAGATACAAATTTGGTGGTGGAGACTCGTGCTACGCACTCGTCCACCCCCAAATTTGTATCTACGATACAGAACCCGTCTCGTTCTCTAAATAATACAACATGTTTTAGGCAAATAAATTAAACATAAATATTTTAGTAAAAAAATAATGTTTCAGTTGTAAATTGCTTTGAAATTGTATTTATGCCTCCTATGAGAATTATCTGCATAACATGCAGTTAAAAATGGCCAAACATGCACAGATATGCAGTTTTGTCGATTATGTCATTTAATTGAATGACAATACAGTAAAATGTATAACAAACCATTAAGGGGGATCGACTCTAAACAGATAAAATAAACAAAACAGGATAAAACATACAGAGGTGCATGAAAGGTACAAGTGTGATTCCCCTAAGACTGACTAGAAATTTACATGTAGTGAAAATATCAGATGACATGTAAATATGCATAAAATATAACATAAATGAGTTAATCCTTGGACATGTTGGAGGCGTCCCAAAAATTGCCCCAATCCCAGAAACGTATGACAAGTTACTAGTATAAGAAAAATACAAATTTTGACTAGAATGCAAAATAATATTAACACGAACCCATAAAAAGGAGGGGGGGGGTGTTGGGTTTTTTCCATTGCACTCATAGGCTAACAAAAATGGCTCAACAAAAACAAAGATTTAAAGTATTTTCAGTTTTTCGTTGATTTCTATAGTGAAAAACACAAGTTTTCTCTCTTTGGTTTCCCAAATAAGTAATGTTTTATGAAAATCCATATTATTATCTATAAAAAAATATTAAAAATCCTTCGACTATGTTAACTTTTGAAAATTGACTTTGCTTTAGGCAGGGGAACAATGCTTTCGTTTGCAGTTCTCAAAGTAAAAGATCCCAGTCATTGGTTCATATTTCTGTTCATTTTGAATTTCTTTGCCTATGCAAAGAATTCTTTTAGGAGTGAGCATCCTCTACCGAACGTTTACACCCGCCGTGGGCTCCTTGTCTTGATCGGAAAATATACCCCGAAAAATCCGTCGACAATTCAGTGCATGTGTATAAAGTGGCATAACAATTAGTATGAAAAACTGTCAGCATTTGACTACATGATAAATTGTATATGCTGACAAAATGATTGCTTCGACCAAAGAACTTTTGAAATTATATAAACTTTTATAAAACAAGACTTTTGATATTCTTGTTTCAGCAACTTGTTTGTCAGTTATTCAATACTCATAAAAACTTCTGTATTGTAAAGCACATGTATATCCAACATTTTAATTTTGGTATACTGATAATATTTAAGGAATTGTTACTTGTTTGTACTCTTAGTATGAAAATGATTGAAAATAATAACATCACAGAATGGTAGCACGTTGCCGTCTATACACTACTCTAAGATGACCCCCTGAAAAGATTCAAAATTTTCTGCAATATGCTTTCTCTTTCTTTAGAGTACATATACATTTTATCATTTTTGTTATATATGTACATGAATTTTATTGATTAGTCTGACTAAAACCAGCCCCTACTATTTCACTTCTAACACAGTGAAATAGTAGGGACTGGCTGTAATCAGACTATTTTATTAATAAAGTTACATGTTAAGAAAAATGACACCGAACTAGAAAAACTTAGCATGTACTGACAACGGACTTTTTGCTTATAAATTGTGATTTCTTAAAGCCTGTTATCAAGATGTGCAGGTAAGGCGCAGCACATCTTGCAGTGTGTGTCCACTTTCCTTACAATGTGTTTGTGTTGAAAGGTATCATAACTTTGCTCCTTACACTCGCTGAACTTTTGTTAACTGTAAGAAGTTGTTTTGATGTCTTGATTTTGCTTTGTTAGCAGAAGAGTAGGAGTTGTATGCTGACCCGGGAGGATCCCAACAGCAGACAAGGAGGGAAGAGGAGGTAAGATTCACAGTGTAAATCTTGCAGCCTTTTGTGATCTTGACCTTGCCAAATGATGTTGATCGTATCAGCATTTGACCTCTTGATTTGCAATTGACAGGATGCGCAGCAAGCAGCAAAGCCCAGCCCAGCCCTTCGCAGCCCAGCCCAGGATCCAGCGCAGCCCACACCAGCCAGCCCATCCCCCCAGAGGATCCAGTGCCGCTACCAGGCAGCCTAACAGAGAAGCATTTTGAATTTATTTCTTTCCTTCTGTCTCCTCTCTATCTTCTTAGCACTTTCCTAATCTAACACAACTAACCATCCCCTACCCCTTAACATTGATTTTGTTGTAATTTCCTTGAATTTGTGTGCTTTGTTTCATTGTTTTGAATTTTTACTAATCTCGTCTCAGTTGTATATTTTCAGGCACTCGGACGTGGTACAACGCGGGAGCAGCCAGCCAGCCAGCCCATCGCCCAGCCAGCCAGCCACAGATGAAGAGGAAGGAGCCCACTGCCCAGCTTTGTCTAGCGGCTTACATTTGCCAAGGCGGTGAGTAAAGGGCTGCTTTTGTAGCACATCTGGATCCCTGTTTTGCATTATAACTTGATCAGAGCAGCTATTGCTTTTCTTTTGACCTCCTGATTTTCTGTGTTTTCAGGAGCGTCGATCCCACCGAGAGGTTCAGCAGCATTCTGGGGAGCAACGATCGACTGCGACCGCACATGGAAGAGAGGGTAAGATTGGTGTCCAACCTGAATTTACTGTGTTGATTTATCTTTTCCTCATCTCACTTGATTAAATCTGTGATCTCTTGATGTCTTGTCTTTCTACTGTAGATATGCGATGTGATGCAGCCCTCTGTTCCCAGTCCTTTGAAGAGGAGTCTGCCAACCCAGGGACGGTAAGATACTTTGTGCACGCCTCGCGCTCTGTGAACTTTCTTCATTTTGACTCTTTCAGTCTTGGCACACTTTTTTCACTTCTCCACATTTGGTGTCAACAGGTCAGGGTTAGGCTGTTGTGGATTCCCAGATGATTAGTGGACTGCAGCCTGCCAGAGGAAGTGAGCAGAGTTCAGGGACGTACTGCGGCCAACTCCGGCGTTGAAGGTAAGCCGATGCGCAATCGGTGTACACGGTTTATTCTGTGGACTTTTGTTACCCCTTCCTTGTTTTGGGAGTGTTTCTTAGGGCTTGACCTGTGCACATCTTTGTTAACAGGTACGGGGTTGGACTGGCCAGGTTGCATGGAAGAAGAGCAGACCGTCTCCAGTAGCGCAGCAGTTCTGTGATGCACTGCGGTCAATCCCTGACGTGCAGGTAAGATGCAGCACATCTTGCAGTGTGTCCACTTTCCTTACAATGTGTTTGTGTTGAAAGGTATCATAACTTTGCTCCTTACACTCGCTGAAATTTTGTTAACTGTAAGAAGTTGTTTTGATGTCTTGATTTTGCTTTGTTAGCAGAAGAGGAGATGTATGCTGACCCGGGAGGATCCCAACAGCAGTCAAGCAGGGAAGAGGAGGTAAGAATCACACTGTTTATCTTGCAGCCTTTCGTGATTTTGACCTTGCCAAATGATGTTGACCGTATCAGCATTTGACCTCTTGACTTGCAATTGACAGGATGCGCAGCAAGCAGCAGAGCCCAGCCCAGCCCTTCGCAGCCCAGCCCAGGATCCAGCGCAGCCCACACCAGCCAGCCCAGCCCCCCAGAGGATCCAGTGCCGCTACCAGGCAGCCTAACAGAGAAGCATTTTGAATTTATTTCTTTCCTTCTGTCTCCTCTGTCTTCTTAGCACTTTCCTAATCTAACACAACTAACCATCCCCTACCCCTTAACATTGATTTTGTTGTAATTTCCTTGAATTTGTGTGCTTTGTTTCATTGTTTTGAATTTTTACTAATCTCGTCTCAGTTGTATATTTTCAGGCACTCGGACGTGGTACAACGCGGGAGAGCAGCCAGCCAGCCTCGCCCACCCAGCCAGCCACAGATGAAGAGGAAGGAGCCCATTGCCCAGCTTTGTCTAGCGGCTTACATTTGCCAAGGCGGTGAGTAAAGGGCTGCTTTTGTAGCACATCTGGATCCCTGTTTTGCATTATAACTTGATCAGAGCAGCTATTGCTTTTCTTTTGACCTCCTGATTTTCTGTGTTTTCAGGAGCGTCGATCCCACCGAGAGGTTCAGCAGCATTCTGGGGAGCAAGGATCGACTGCGACCGCACATTGAAGAGAGGGTAAGATTGGTGTCCAACCTGAATTTACTGTGTTGATTTATCTTTTCCTCATCTCACTTGATGAAGACTGTGATCTCTTGATGTCTTGTCTTTCTACTGTAGATATGCAGTGTGATGCAGCCCTCTGTTCCCAGTCCTTTGAAGAGGAGTCTGCCAACCCAGGGACGGTAAGATACTTTGTGCACGCCTCGCGCTCTGTGAACTTTCTTCATTTTGACTCTTTCAGTCTTGGCACACTTTTTTGACTTCACCTTTGGTGTCAACAGGTCAGGGTTAGGCTGTTGTGGATTCCCAGATGATCAGTGGACTGCAGCCTGCCAGAGGAAGTGAGCAGAGTTCAGGGACGTACTGCGGCCAACTCCGGCGTTGAAGGTATGCCGATGCGCAATCGGTGTACACGGTTTATTCTGTGGACTTTTGTTACCCCTTCCTTGTTGTGGGAGTGTTTCTTAGGTTGACCTGTGAACATCTTTTTAACAGGTACGGGTTGGACTGGCCTGGTTGCTTAGAAGAAGAACAGACCGCCACCATTAGGCAGTTCTGTGATGCACTGCGGTCAATCCCTGACGTGCAGGTAAGACGCAGCACATCTTGCAGTGTGTCCACTTTCCTTACTCTGTGTTTGTGTTGAAAGGTATCATAACTTTGCTCTTTGCACTCGCTGAAATTTTGTTAACTGTAGGAAGTTGTTTTGATGTCTTGATTTTGCTTTGTTAGCAGAAGAGAGGAGGTGTATGCTGACCCGGGAGGATCCCAACAGCAGTCAAGAAGGGAATATGAGGTAAGATTTACACTCTACATCTTGCAGCCTTTCATGATCTTTACCTTTCCAAATGATGATCAGCATTTGACCTCTTGATTTGCAATTGACAGGATGCGCAGCAAGCAGCAGAGCCCAGCCCAGCCCAGCCCTTCGCAGCCCAGCCCAGGATCCAGCGCAGCCCACACCAGCCAGCCCATCCCCCCAGAGGATCCAGTGCCGCTACCAGGCAGCCTAACAGAGAAGCATTTTGAATTTATTTCTTTCCTTCTGTCTCTTCTCTGTCTTCTTAGCACTTTCCTAATCTAACAAACTAACCATCCCCTACCCCTTAACATTGATTTTGTTGTAATTTCCTTGAATTTGTGTGCTTTGTTTCATTGTTTTGAATTTTTACTAATCTCGTCTCAGTTGTATATTTTCAGGCACTCGGACGTGGTACAACGCGGGAGCAGCCAGCCAGCCAGCCCCGCCCACCCAGCCAGCCACAGATGAAGAGGAAGGAGCCCATTGCCCAGCTTTGTCTAGCGGCTTACATTTGCCAAGGCGGTGAGTAAAGGGCTGCTTTTGTAGCACATCTGGATCCCTGTTTTGCATTATAACTTGATCAGAGCAGCTATTGCTTTTCTTTTGACCTCCTGATTTTCTGTGTTTTCAGGAGCGTCGATCCCACTGAGACGTTGAGCAGCATTCTGGGGAGCAAGGATCGACTGCGACCGCACATTGAAGAGAGGGTAAGATTGGTGTCCAACCTGAATTTACTGTGTTGATTTATCTTTTCCTCATCTCACTTGATGAAGACTGTGATCTCTTGATGTCTTGTCTTTCTACTGTAGATATGCGGTGTGATGCATCCCTCTGTTCACAGTCCTTTGAAGAGGAGTCTGCCAACCCAGGGACGGTAAGATACTTTGTGCACGCCTCGCGCTCTGTGAACTTTCTTCATTTTGACTCTTTCAGTCTTGGCACACTTTTTTGACTTCTCCACCTTTGGTGTCAACAGGTCAGGGTTTGGCTGTTGTGTATTCCCAGATGATTAGTGGACTGCAGCCGGCCAGAAGAAGTGCGCAGAGTTCAGGGACCTACTGCGGCCAACTCCGGCGTTGAAGGTAAGCGGAAGCGCAATCGGTGTACACGGTTTATTCTGTGGACTTTTGTTACCCCTTCCTTGTTTTGGGAGTGTTTCTTAGGGCTTGACCTGTGCACATCTTTGTTAACAGGTACGGGGTTGGACTGGCCAGCTTGCATGGAAGAAGAGCAGACCGTCACCAGTAGGCAGCAGTTCTGTGATGCACTGCGGTCAATCCCTGACGTGCAGGTAAGACGCAGCACATCTTGCAGTGTGTCCACTTTCCTTACTCTGTGTTTGTGTTGAAAGGTATCATAACTTTGCTCTTTGCACTCGCTGAAATTTTGTTAACTGTAGGAAGTTGTTTTGATGTCTTGATTTTGCTTTGTTAGCATAAGAGGAGATGTATGCTGACCCGGGAGGATCCCAACAGCAGTCAAGCAGAGAAGAGGAGGTAAGATTCACACTACATCTTGCAGCCTTTTGTGATCTTGACCTTGCCAAATGATGTTGACCGTATCAGCATTTGACCTCTTGACTTCCAATTGACAGGATGCATAGGAAGCAGCAGAACCCAGCCCAGCCCCAAGCAGCCCATCCCACCAGAGGATCCAATGCCGCTACCAGGCAGCCTAACAGAGAAGCATTTTGAATTTATTTCTTTCCTTCTGTCTCTTCTCTATCTTCTTAGCACTTTCCTAATCTAACACAACTAACCATCCCCTACCCCTTAACATTGATTTTGTTGTAATTTCCTTGAATTTGTGTGCTTTGTTTCATTGTTTTGAATTTTTACTAATCTCGTCTCAGTTGTATATTTTCAGGCACTCGGACGTGGTACAACGCGGGAGCACCCAGCCAGCCTCCATCGCCCACCCAGCCAGCCACAGATGAAGAGGAAGGAGCCCATTGCCCAGCTTTGTCTAGCGGCTTACATTTGCCAAGGCGGTGAGTAAAGGGCTGCTTTTGTAGCACATCTGGATCCCTGTTTTGCATTATAACTTGATCAGAGCAGCTATTGTTTTTCTTTTGACCTCCTGATTTTTTGTGTTTTCAGGAGCGTCGATCCCACCGAGAGGTTCAGCAGCATTCTGGGGAGCAAGGATCGACTGCGACCGCACATTGAAGAGAGGGTAAGATTGGTGTCCAACCTGAATTTACTGTGTTGATTTATCTTTTCCTCATCTCGCTTGATGAAGACTGTGATCTCTTGATGTCTTGTCTTTCTACTGTAGATATGCGGTGTGATGCATCCCTCTGTTCACAGTCCTTTGAAGAGGAGTCTGCCAACCCAGGGACGGTAAGATACTTTGTGCACGCCTCGCGCTCTGTGAACTTTCTTCATTTTGACTGTTTGAGTCTTGGCACACATTTTTGACTTCTCCACCTTTGGTGTCAACAGGTCAGGGTTTGGCTGTTGTGTATTCCCAGATGATTAGTGGACTGCAGCCGGCCAGAAGTAGTGCGCAGAGCTCAGGGACCTACTGCGACCAACTCCGGCGTTGAAGGTAAGCGGAAGCGCAATCGGTGTACACGGTTTATTCTGTGGATTTTGTTACCCCTTCCTTGTTTTGGGAGTGTTTCTTGGGGTTTGACCTGTGGACATCTTCGTTAACAGATACGGGGTTGGACTGACCTGGTTGCATGGAAGAAGAGCAGACTGTCACCAGTAGGCAGCAGTTCTGTGATGCACTGTGGTCAATCCCTGATGTGCAGGTAAGACGCAGCACATCTTGCAGTGTGTCCACTTTCCTTACTCTCTGTTTGTGTTAAAAGGTATCATAACTTTGCTCTTTGCACACGCTGAAATTTCATTGACTGTCGGAAAATGTTTTGATGTCCTGATTTTATTTTGTTAGCAGAAGAGGAGGTGTATGCTGACCCGGAAGGATCCCAACAGCAGTCAAGGAGAGAAGAGGAGGTAAGATTCAGACTGTACATCTTGCAGCCTTTTGTGATCTTGACCTTGCCAAATGATGTTGATCGTATCAGCATTTGACCTCTTGACTTCCAATTGACAGGATGCGCAGCAAGCAGCAGAGCCCAGCCCAGCCCTTCCAGCCCAGCCCCAGGATCCAGCGCAGCCCACACCAGCCAGCCCATCCCACCAGAGGATCCAATGCCGTTACCAGGCAGCCTAACAGAGAAGCATTTTGAATTTATTTCTTTCCTTCTGTCTCTTCTCTGTCTTCTGAGCACTTTCCTAATCTAACACAACTAACCATCCCCTACCCCTTAACATTGATTTTGTTGTAATTTCCTTGAATTTGTGTGCTTTGTTTCATTGTTTTGAATTTTTACTAATCTCGTCTCAGTTGTATATTTTCAGGCACTCGGACGTGGTACAACGCGGGAGCACCCAGCCAGCCTCCAGCCACCCAGCCAGCCACAGATGAAGAGGAAGGAGCCCATTGCCCAGCTTTGTCTAGCGGCTTACATTTGCCAAGGCGGTGAGTAAAGGGCTGCTTTTGTATCACTTCTGGATCCCTGTTTTGCATTATATCTTGATTAGAGCAGCTAGGGTTCTTCTTTTGACCTCCTGATTTTCTGTTTTTTCAAGAGCGTCGATCCCACCGAGACGTACAACAGCATTCTTGGGAGTAAGAATCGACTGCGACCGCACATGGAAGAGAGGGTAAGATTGGTGTCCAACCTGAATTTACTGTGTTGATTTAACTTTTCCTCATCTCACTTGATGAAGACTGTGATCTCTTGATGTCTTGTCTTTCTACTGTAGATATGCAGTGTGATGCATCCCTCTGTTCACAGTCCTTTGAAGAGGAGTCTGCCAACCCAGGGACGGTAAGATACTTTGTGCACGCCTCGCGCTCTGTGAACTTTCTTCATTTTGACTCTTTCAGTCTTGGCACACTTTTTTGACT